CCTAATTGGGGAACAGAAGATTTGGATGGTTAGAACATATTGTGAGAGTATTGATTTCTCACAGCACTGAGAATGTATCGATGACAAAGAGATTCAAGAAGAAGAAAATAGAATTTATATTTTCTGACTTCATCAACTATGCAGCCACAATCTCCAGAGCCTTTGTTGAACCTCTCTTCTTCCTTCAAATAGCTTCTTAAGAAGAAATAATGTTGCAAGTCCACAATCCCATAGTTCTGCCTCCTTCAAGATCTCAGTTTGTGTTGTCAGCTGCAAGAGTGGACAAAGACATCAAACACCATCCCCATTGCATATCGCAGACACAAATAAAAAGAACTTTTGCTAAAACTTATTTATAAAATGAGGAGTTGAAATTCCTAGAACCCCTTGGTAACATCTAAAGGTCACAGTATTTTTGTCCTTGGAAGTGCCACTTCTATGCCCAAAAAAGTATATGGTCCAGCTCAAAGCTGGGAGAAAGATGCTGGAAATAAAATGAAGGCAAACTGCAACAAAGGAGGTCTCTTTATCTGGCAGAAACTAGTGACAGCAGCATGTTTCTGGGATGGCTGACAAAATGGGGGTAAGAGTAGGTGAGCTTTATACATTCTTTGGGGTTTTGTGATAGAGGTGCCTGTTCCTGTGCAAGAATATTCCTTTAACATTTTTAAGGCTGTTGCCAGATTCCTATGGGGTCATGTAGGGGTCATATCTGGCTCTACAGGCAAAAAGAGAAATGCAAATCCTAGGATTTTTCTTTGTCTGAGCTAATCTTCTTAGTTTTGGCTCCTTGCCTATTGTGTTGCTTATTTGGAATCTCTGGCTGCTCTTTGCTTATGAATATAGTGGACCAGCTTTCTGAGTGGATATAAAATATCCATTTCTAAAGACTAGCCTCTTCAAGTTTTTGCTTGAGGCTGCTCTCCTATAGCAGGAAGACTAGGGCTGCTTTCTGCCTTTAAGAAGCTGTCTCTCCTGTTATCCTTCAGGGGAAATATTCTATCTGCTACTTTTTAATATTAAGAATAAAGAATATTTTATTCTAGGGAAGGAGCCTTCCTACAATATGTGACCTGGACCCTTGCCATAAAGGGCTTTAAAGTAATAATCAACACCCTGAATTGGACCCAAAAGCAAACTAGCAATAAGTGCAGCTTGTGCAATAGTGGTGTGACATGCCCCCCCCCCAATGCTCCCCAAGAACTGCCCGCATGGCTGCATTGTGCCAGCTATAGCTTCTAAATATTCTTCAAGCGTCACCTCACACAGAATGCATTGCAGATGTGAGAGGATCAGGGCCTGAGTGACTGAGCACATATGGACATATAGCAGAAGTTGAACATGATACAGAAAGAGGAATAATAGGTACTGGTGCTGGAGATGAGGAGAGTAGGTCCCACATTTAATTAGCAATGAGTGTAAGAAAGTCTGGCCAAGGCACATTGGGGACAATGTTAGAGGAGATTGGTGATCCACACGTTTGTGTAGATCCCTTCTAAGCCATAAACTCCATATTTGGGTCTAAGAAGTCAAATATTTATGTTATTTTAAAACCATGTCAATAATCGGTAACATTACACAGGAAATGGCTGGATGAAAAGGCCTATACATGAAACTGGCCTTTTGGGACAGTCTGTGGATTCTTTTGATAGGCTAATCATCCCATTGACTTGCAGTGACTCTCCTGGAGCTTCATTGCAAAGCTAGTATTGGAGTCTCTCTTACCTTTGGAGAAGAGGACTTCAGTGCCAATGCTTCTGGTGGAGGAAAGAAAGTAGTGGCCTGGAGATTCGTGTCCTCAATATTACTTGTTAATGTTTTTCTTAAATTTATTCATTAACCATTAAAAAGAGCAATAGCAAGCAAAAGGAGGGAAAAAATAGCTTGTAACAAAATACAATAATCAGCAAGTGAATAAAGGAGTTACTGTGATGATACAGTTAGTGTTAATTTTGTTTATGATAAATTATCCATAAAGCACATTATGCAGATTAAATTATTTTAACAATGTGAGAAAGGATTTGAGTCTCTTGAGTGATATTCCAAAATCTCCACTATTTGTTATTTAAGAATAAAAAAATGAAAAACTACTAAAAATCTTCTAGATAATTAGTTTCTTCCTCTTTGGTCTATTTCAACTAATGCCCAATATTTATAGATATTTAACGTTTTGTGATTTCAATTCTTTATTTTGTTGTTAAAAATCATACTCTAAATACTTACATTTGCCTTGCTTGCTGAATATATATAGCTTATATGGAAGCCATTCTTGCTTAAATTGGGTTAAACTTCTGTTATGAATATGTGCTGTAAATTTTGCCATTATTATGCATTCCCCAAGATTAAGTAACATGCCTTCATTCAGTAATATTCCTCTTCCAATTTTCTACACACTGGATCTCCACTTTGGAGCAGATGGAACAATACAGAAGGCATGTGTGTTTATTTACTTATTATCTTTTTATGCTGCCCATCCACGCTATAAGTTGATTCTGGGCAGCTTATAGGATTATTCTTTATTATCTAAGAGCAGTTTTTATCGAGCTACACATTGTCATCATTGGGATCTCTGAAATGGCAAAGGACTTTATAATGATCCATCAGAGAAACTGATGGATCTTGCTGGTTTCCTGAGTGTGCTTGAGAATATCTCAATGATAAGAAATAAAGCTCTGGTTTGTATCTGTTTGAGCTCTAGTAAAAGCAGATTGCCAAGCAGAAAAAAATGGTTTTCAAAGGAGGTCCAATAAATGAAGCAAAGGAAAAGGTCTTAGATTAACGGTGGTGGGTAAATCACAATGAAAAATACCAAACATTGGTAAGGAGATGGGTTTCGGACTACATGATGGTAAAAAGCATGATGAAGCAAGTTTATGCATCTGCTTTTATTGCATCTTCAGATTCCTCCGAATAAAATTTGTTCCAGGTATTCTGAACTATTTGGGGAAATGATAGAGGAGATCCATCAATGCTATAATATTTTTGCGTATTTCACAAAAGGTTTGGCAATTATAATTGCTTTGCATGGTGAGAAAACTATGGGGAGTTTTATATACATTTTTGAGGAGACTTGATTTAGATTTTTGGGAAGATTTATATTTTGACTATAATCATAGTATTTGGAATGTGTACCAAGAGACCAATAACAGTAAGCTCTTTGATTAAAGGAATTATTCAAAAGTAGAAGACAAAAATCTATATCTGATTTGCAGCAATGAGTTGTACATTCAGTATGTTTAAATGAATAGTAAAGTAGTTATACTAATTATATTTAATGTTATTTTATTTTTAACTATAATAAAATTAAATAAATTAAAATTTTATGCTAGTATCTGATATTAAAATTTAAAGTTTGGGCCCCAACAATAACTCATTTGTTATTCTTTTTTCTTGTGTGAATTGTTTAATCCAGTAACAAAATGAAACCTACCTTGTTTCTCATATAATAAGGCCAGGTCTTTTTTTTTTTTTTTTGAGCCCCCCCAAAATGGCTAGGCCATCTTTTCGGGGATGACTTAATTCCCCCCCCTTGCATCTTCGGGCGGGCGGTGATGGCTTGGATGTTGACCTCGGCATTGGTGGGGCACTTCTTATCGGGGTCAACGCAGGCAGCACCATATCCGGGTGTGCAACAAAAATACTTCCTAATGGCAAGCCCCCCCCACCATTCCCCCCATTTTGCATGTTTTAATATAGGCCTTAATTTGGGGGGGGAGGGGCTTAATTTCATTTCATGCCTATAAAACATGCTGGGACTTCCTATTGGGGGAGGCCATATTGTTGGAGAAACAGGGTAGACATATGAGTTGAAGAAACAAAAAAAGTAACTGAATAAAATAAACATTTTCTAATAAAGACACATGATATCAAAGAAGATTGGAACAGGAAAAAAGGAACAGTCACCAGTCTTTTTAATATTATTCCATAGTAGTGGATTCCTATACTGGGCAGGAGGTTGCACTAGATGATTTCCAAGATCTCTTACATTCCGTGACCAAGAATTAAGTTTTCAAGAATTCATGGGGTGGGAAGTGAAAGCATCCCTGAAAACTGAATGAAACTTCAGAGGTTCGATAATGAGATCTAAGAATGATTAAGTGAGGGACAGTATTTTGCCCTACCTTCAATGACCTTTCCATTGGACGCTTCAGTACAAATTACCTATGTAATACTGGAAAACAATAAAGAATTTTCCTCTCCTTGTCTTGGAAAATACAAGAATTTACATTCCATAAGATGCTTCACTAATATTCGAACTGTCTGTGATTATGTTCCATTTCCCATAGCACAATGCAGAATCCCAGTGGCCACAGGTGACTCTTCCCCTGTACTCTAAACCATGGGGCGCAGCTTAGTTCTTAGACATTCAAATTAATTTCCCAAATTTCCCAAATATTTATTCTGTTTTACCTGGGGATGGAATTGATTTTGTGAATGGAGCAACTCTTATTTCTAGATTGAATATAGCAATTCTAAGGCCAAATCCTTTTCTAAGATCAGATAACAATCTGCTTTGCAATTTTCCAAGCATAGTTGATCCAGAGATCTTCCTATTCTTCCCATCCCAATTTTCTAATCATTTTATCCTTACATTTTAACTCCTTTACTAAAACTGTATTCACAATATTAAGTCTGTTCAATAAATATGGAAAAAAATTGAACAAATGTCTAAAGCATATGAGTTAATGGGGCTCCAAATTTGTCTCCATTACCATACCAATTTGAGACTGAACCTCCTGAATATAGAGAATTCTTGAAAACCACTGGAGATGTAGTTGTAGCACTGAAACTTATTTCTTCTAACAGCTCACTGAAATTCTTTGTTAAGTTCCTTTCTAACATCTTTTATTTTCTTGGCTTTAGCTTGTTTTCTTTTCTTGGGAATTTCCATATATTTTCTGATACCCAGAGGTTTTTTCCACTTGATTTTTTTTAACCCTAATCCCTGTAAATAATATTATCCTATTAATAACATTCCTGGTGCATTTTTTTTCTTTCAGAGCTTGAGGCAGAAGAGTGGTGCAAACATCTTTGCATAGAATGTCTTGGAACTAGACTTAATGATATAAGCCTGGGTGAACCCGATCTACTTGCCGCAGGAGTTCAAAGAGAGCAAAATGGTATGTGTTTAGTAATCTACCTAACATACTTCAAAATGAGAAGCTCGTTTGTCAAATTGTAGAGGTTAGGCCTATTGGGATATTTATGTTGTATATAAATAGTTGATTTTACTAATGGGTACAATTCAGATAAGCTCAGTAAGATTTATTTATTTATTGTTTGTAAATTTTATTTGAGTTTTCACAAAGAGAAAAAAAATACAAATAAAACATCTTTTTTGAAAGCAGCATAATCCTGGGTTACATTTCTTCATATAGACACATATTCAGGTTCATGCTCATTTTTATATTCTATTCCATATCTTATTACTATTTTACATTTTCTGCATAGATTCTCCCCTCTTTTAATTTTCTCAATTTTATTTTAATTATCTCATCTCAATTCAAATCATTATATTTATATTTTTTGTCTGCTCTGTTTCAATTATCTATTATCTTTTCTCATTAAACAAAATTTCTCCTGTAATTACTGATTGGAGTATGACGCCTTTATATCTTTTCCCTAAAGTAACATTCAATATAATACATAACTTCCATTCGGATTCTGCTTGGTACATTCTTAAAATACACACTGTATTCTTAAAAAAAGAAAAAAAATATAAATATATGTAATTAAAACAACATTCCATTCCAATTCAATTCTATCATTAATATTAATATCCATTACAGTCTTAACATCTTTAACATTACTCTTCAATTAAATATCATACTTCTATGAGAACAATTATAAGCTTTCCATAGTTAATTCCCCCCCTCTTCACTTATATTTTATAAAACATTAACTAATTAAAATGTTCCCGTTCCTTCCTAATTCAATTTTCTCATTTATTTTATTTCACTTATTTTATTCACAAGCATTTCACTAAATTACACTAACTAACACTAACTTCTCTATATCTTGCTCCGGTCCTTTGTAACTTCTTTTCCTTTCCTTCTTCCCTCTCTTCTTCTCTCTCCCTTTTTTACCCACTTGTCTCTCTACCTCTTTTTCTCTCTTCTGTATTCCCCCTTTCTGTTGCTTTCCAGTATTATACTTATTTTTCGAATTATTTTTCTTTTCTTTGGTTGTTTTTTTAAGTCTTAAATTCTCCATTCTCTTTCCCCCCTTTCCTTTTTCTTCTCCACATAGAATTACTTGTTCATTAAAGATGGCTTCTTCTTTGTCCCAGTTTTCTTGTTTTGCAGTCTTTTCTTGTTGTTTCTCATGGTTCCAAATCTCCATTTCTAAGAATTGAAAAACGAAGCCAAAAGAACCCTTCCCTTCTTGTGCATCTTCTTTGTACTTTTTAAGTTCCATTTTCAATTCATCCAGAAGTGGTGCCATTGTATAAATTTTTAAACAACCACCCGATTGATTTTAGTCATTCAAATAGAATAACCAATAATCCAAAGATCACCAAATAATCCAAACACACGCAAGGTGTTTCTTTTTTGCTCTTTTTTTTCACTTTCTCTTCCTGGGGTTACTTTTTAGTTGCAAAGTTTCAGTTAAAATGTATCTTTTAGAAGTCTTGTTGAAGTTTTACTTTAGATTCTTTTTAATTCCAGGCAGTCTCCTCCCTCTTCCAGATCCTGCCCTTATTCTTTTTCTCTCCCTTCCTGCTTATGAAAAAAGAAGTTTTTAACATCCAGAAATCTTTATTATCTGTTTGGCATTTTGTTTTATTTTCAGCTTAATTGCCTATTGATATCAAAGTGGATTTTTCCGATTTTTTATTTAAGTCTCTTAGTTGTCAGTATAGGGAAGGAGACAGAAGAGAAAAAAAAGCCAAACCTTTCCCTTTTCACTTTCCTTTGCTGCTTCCGACTCTTCTTTGGGAGCGATGTTATTTTTTGTAAGTTTAAATTCCAGGGTACCTTGGTTGTTGCTTTTACAATTTAACCCAGTCAGCCAAAACTTTCACTTCTTATCTTCCTTCTGCACATTCTTTTCCGGTCCAGTTCTTCTTTGTGGTGGCCATTTCTGACCACCACTGCAACTGCCTTCGGGAAAGAGAGTAATGGCCAGCTGAGGAGGAGAGATGCGGCTCTCCTCGACCCTGCTGGCAGTCTCCCCCCTCTTCACCACCTCTACGGAGTGGCTTAGCCCCGAAGCCAGCCAGCTCAGGGCACTCCAGCGGCGAGCCCAGACAGAAACCGCGCACGATAACGGATTTCTGTCTGTCTCCGAAGCCCTTCAAACTGGAAGCTCCTCAGTGAGATTTATTATGGAGGTTTGACTTCCTTCAAAACTATGTACTAAAGTAAGTTGTGATTAATGAGTAATTTACAAGGCAAGGATGGTGCCAAATGTTTTTATCTTATTCTGATAATGCAGACATTACTACATAAAGAATAATCATCACTATGAAATATTTTCTGGATAAATTTGCAGTGAAAAGGAAGCAATATCAATGGGTTTCACTAAGACTAGAGATGGAACTCTCTAGTTTCTGAAATTCCAGTATGGAACTTTTGAAAATTTGGTGTAGGACTTCCCAGAATGGTCCTAAGCCAGTTTTATTAATACTCTAAGTAAAATCATAATTTGATGAAGATCAGGCTGAAATGTCTATGGAGATTCTCAGTCATCCAGGTCATGGTTATCCCAAAGGTGCTTTTCTAAGAGGCAACTGAACTTTCTGCTTTTTCTTTGAAGATGTTTCACTTCTCATCGAAGCTTCATGGATGAGAAGTGAAATGTTTTCAAGTAAAAACCACAAAGTCCATTTGCCTCTTGGAAAAGCAACTTTGGGACAGCAGGCTGAAATGTTTCTGATTTTTTTGTAGGACTCTCTTGAGCCAAGTCAGGTCCAAGAATATATCAGCACAAATGTCAATTGATGCATCAGGTTAGAATTGGCAATTTTAAATTGCCAATAGACTACTTTCAAAATAAAGAAGCTAACATTTATTTATCTTATTTATTTATTCAGTGTACATAACTGAAACATATTTATTGTTTTGGATTAAACTGTTTTGAAACAAATCTATTTAGGACCCTATCCCCAGGATCTCCATTCATAATGCACCTGTGAGACTCCAAGTAGCCATAATTAATAGCAGCATTTAAATTCAAGACCAGAACAAAATGGATGTTCTAGTAATATGCAGAATTGAATCATTAGTTTCACTACCCCAGACATTGCAATTTTGATAAATATCCCCCAGTGCCGAAATTTGCATTTAAATTAGCACAGCTAAAGCTAGCTGTCACCTTAACTCTAGAAAGAAAAGCAGGCATTACCTTTGCTACACACAGCAAGACATGATGCAAAATGTTTATTAATAAATTTAAATCGGGAGTAGATAAACCATCTATAACAGGAGTATTAGCAAATGCATTGAAATGTCTCCTTTTTTTGCAAACACATGTTTTTAAAAATTGTTCCAACTTATTTCTTACTTGCACATGAAAACAAAAGTTGTAATGCAACATTCATGGAAACCTAGCTGTGCTTTGCTACTTTTATCAAGAAAAAACAAAATATAAATGCACATTCAGATGATTGGGTAAAATATTAATGAGTTTTGCAAGGTTTTATTTAATGAAATAATTTAATTTAGAAAAACTTTCCCTTTTATTCAACAGGATAGGATGCATTTGACTGAATTTTTCATTACAAAAAGGGTTTCTGACATATAAATGGTGTCCTTGCCTGAAGTGAGATTTGTATTTAAAAAGCTCACAATCACAGATAATTTACTTTAAAAAAAATCATGGTTTAAATTATATTTCAGATTTATATATATTTTATTTTACCTTTATTTTTATAAGTTATTCAAGGCAATAGACATATCTACTACTTCTTATTCTTCCTATTTTTTTCACAATCACAAACCTGTGAAATGAGTTGGGTTGAGAGAGAATGATTGTTCCAACTCATCCATCCAGTTTCCCCGCCTAAGGCAGGACTAGAACTCACATTCTCTTAGTTTCTAATTTGGTGCTTAATCACTAGAGCAAACCACTAGATTAGATTTTAATACACTTCATCAGTTTCGTGTGCAAAATAATTCAAAGAGGCAGACAAAAGTTAGTCTGCCTTTTAACTACTATTTTAATTATTAGCTTGAATGTTATTATTTACTTGGCAGAGGATCAAAGGATCACAGATGACAATGTTGCAGAGATAAAATTTACTATGATTATCTTCCACATTACTGTACAGGAAGCATAGTTCACTTTCCTAACCCAAAGGTCTGCTGAGGAACCTAAATTTTGATGGCCATTCTGAAATCCAGCACAGGAGGAGCCATCCACATCACAATTTAAACTAAATTATCAGTGGCTACCTTTACATACCAGTCAAATTAGAGCAAAACTAGTCTGATCATTAATGGAGTACACCCTTTTGCAAATTTATGTTATTCACCTATATTTAAAGGGAAAAGGAAATCTCTTCAGTTTATTTTTAATGTACATAGGAATCAGGAAATGGAAAATAATCGTATGCTAATATCCATATTTTAAAAAAAGTTCTGTGCAATAAAGCTCTTAAACAGAACAAATTAAGGTTTGCAAAAAATGATAAAATTGTTCATAACATAATGTACTGACAGAAAAGACATACTTTTCCTTCATCCTCTGATTTATAGCAAATTCAATTTTGTGTAATTATAAATTCAGAGAATGCTTTATTCTAACCAAGGTTAGTTAACATAACTATGTTTATATTCATATTCATATTTCTAGTTTAGTTACTCTTCAAATTCATCCGTATTGCAGAATAGTCACAGATTAGGTAGGTCATCTAAATAAGAGTATTGTTCTTACAGAACCAGATTGTACAACCAGGTATATTTCTCATGTTTGGAATTACAATTTCCATCAGCCCTGGGCAGCAAGAGAGGGAATTATAGCCCAAACCATCTGGAGAACAGATGATGCCTGTTCTTTTATAGTTTATTTCTTGGATTATTCCTAAAATCTCATTTGCAAGTATGTATGACTAGGTTGCCAACTAACCCATTAAATTACTCATTTATTATGAATGAGCTCATATTATGGAATCAGAATCTTAAACCTAGCGGAGATTTGTCAAGAATATTTTGTTTTTTATGCTTATATCCTCTTTTATTAATTGTATTTATTTATGAATGTCATTTGCTATCACGGACTATCAAATTATGGCTTGCCTGTCATTTGAATTTTATCTGCATTTTTCTTTAAGATATAATTAAATTTCTGAGCTGACTCAAAGCAACCATTGTGCTAAAAAAAAAAATAGCAAGATGACCGGTTCCGTACATTCAGTACTGAAAATGAATGGAGTCAAACCTCAGAGATTCATCCAGCCTTCAGGAATTCCTAAAGATCTAGTCTGGCAATTTATATGTATTTGTATAAATCTCCCAAACATTAGGAGCATACTTGAAAGTCTGGTTTGATAGTTTACATCGGCTCTTTTACAATGCCAGTTTTGTAAAACCTCTCAGGAATTCTGCCTTTGTGAACTGGATGAGATCGAATAAATTCTTCTACGCTGTCATATTTATTCCCATTTATTTCAGCTTCTATTAATTCACATTAGTTTTACATTTTAATTCCTTTTAGCTGATTCTTATATTCACGTTTTTGCTTCATAGCATAAAGGATTCCCCTTATGACTGCATCCTCAGCTTGATCAAGCTTTCTGAGCAAGTCAGGATATGTACATCTGTATTTATTTTATTTCCACTCTTGTATATTTTAATCTATTCTGGATTACAATGGATAAAATTAGAATTGATCTGGAATAGGATTATTGTTTCTCTGTATGTTTAATGCCATTAGTGTTACAAAAGAGGAATATAATAAAATGATTTACTGCAGGATCTTTTTGTGATAGTCATGTTTACCCAGTAGCTTGGTATATGAAATTTTGAATGTTTTTTTTTTAATCAGGAGTTCTAATTCTTCTAAATTTCACTGCTTGCTTTTTATTTGTCTTCCATTTTTGGATAATTACTATTGATTCTATTTCTTTGTTTTGCAGCTGATGTTCAGTCTAATCAGGAATTTTTCTTTTTAGGGACAACTCACCTTAAGACGCTGATGTTCAATGTAAAAGAAACAAACGTATCTTGACATTTTGAACAAACTGTGTTTCCCAAATGATCTTTTCTAATAATAATCTTAAATATTTTAATGTGGCAAGAAGTATTTTCCCCTGATTTACTGAATCAGATCCTAAGAAAAAAGATATCAAAAGCACTCCCAGTTATAATAATAATTGATATCTTTAGAAGATCTTTAGAAATAAAAGAGTAGGAAGGTGTTGTGGTTAGCTGGCAGCAGGTGCGGATAGCTGTGGAGAGCGAGGACTCAGATGTGGGGCCTGGACCATTAGGGAGTGGACTGGTGCCTTCAGAGATTGTGGGGGCTGGCAGGACCAATGATTGGGGAGGCTGGCAGCACCAGGTTCCCGAAGAGCCTGTGCCAAGTGTGCGTGCACACAGAGCTGCTCACAGGAAACAGCAGCTGCAGCACTACGGGTGACTGCAAGGTAATAGCCCCTCCTTCAACAAGCTGTGCCAGCTGTGAATTGGACGTTCTTTGCAGGAAGCAAAGACATTTTGAAACTCGAGCCTCGTGGACATTGCAGTATCCTAGTTGGTATTTGAAGACTCTTGTGTTGTAAAATATTTCTAGGTAACCTTATCTGTTATTTTTGGCAGGCTCACACAGTTTTGGCGAGGCTCATGCTTATCAAAGTTAATTAGTTTGCAGCAGGGGATTAATTTTAACTGGGGATTCGTAAGAATCAATAAAAGGTTTCTCTTCCCTTTGGTTCATGTTTGTTTTATTGGACAAGGGTTTGGGTCAGAACAGAAGGGACCTTGGAAGTCTTCTAGTCCAACTCCTGCTTAGGCAGGAAACCCTATATATCTTGGATTCAAACTGTAATAAAGATTGAGTTAATTTGATGCAAGACTGTTCATGAAATATTTCATTCTGAATTAAACTATTCACAAAAAACAAGATGCCAGCTGGGAATTAATTGCAGTCACAACTGTGAAATAAAAGATACAGAACATTGACAGAGTATTCTCCATTCAGACGACTGCTTTATAATTTTGAATTCAACGAAAAGTTTATCTAGTTTGTTAATATACATTTTGCAAATTTTTAAAGGGGTTTTAGTGTTCTCAAAGAACACTTGCCATATCTCAAAATAAACATTCCTTAAAAATGTATTTTCCTGAAACAATCCATTGATTTTCCAAAATTTACTATTCTAGCTCTTACTTCAACAGCTTAGATAAATAATTGATTCTACCTTTCATTTGAATTTTTAATGATTTTTAAAATGTTGGTGAGTTTCTGTTAAAGTGCAGCATCTCTGAAAGTAACTAACGCTGCAAATGGCCCACAGCATGTTAAAGCACCTAGCCCGTGCAGTTTAGTTAATACCTGTTTCAGTTGCATACATTGTCAAGTGTATATTGAAAGCAAATTAGATTTGAAAACTTTAAACCAATTATTAAGAATCAACCAGTGGTGGGATTCAAAAAGTTTTTTAATATCGGTTCTGTGGGTGTGGCTTGGTAGGTGTGGCAGGGGAAGGATACTGCAAAATCTCCAGTCAGAGGTGGTATTTGCTGGGTCTCCGAACTACTCAAAATTTCCACTACTGGTTCTCCAGAACTAGTCAGAACCTGCTGAATATCACCTCTGGAATCAACTGATTTAAAATATTAATCCCTTGTTAGCCCAAACATTCCAACTGAAAATCTGTTCCATTATTTTTAAAATTCAGTTATTCTGCATTGCCCTCTTCATATGTGATTTGGGATCAAAGCTTGCCACTTACCTATTAATAACCACAGAGGCCTAGCATTTTTCAAAATATAATAAGATCCTAGTTTAGAATACACGGTCCTTGAGATTTGCAAAGATTCAAAGACTTTACATATTTCCTTTAAAATGGACCCAAAGGGGAAAACAATTGTAATGTGTCATTCTAATAAATTAAAATAAAAGTCCAATTATATAATTGAAAATCCTTACAAAGTGACTTTTTTTTTGAAAAAAAAAAAAAACCTCCAGAGGCTTTAACTGCTGTAAAAAAGAGAGATCTAATTAAGTTAATCTGTATGTGAAATATCTAATTTTTTAGATCTCTAAAATGTATATTAAATTGATGCAAAACACATTTTATCAACATTAATCTTATCCCAACATTAATCTTATTCAAATACTCAGTAGTATTTTAACTGTCAAGTTATGTTTTTTGAAGCTCTATCCAAGCATTTGAAATTATTTAATTCAACATATTGTGATTAACTTTGAGAAAGATACAGAACTCAAGTATTTTATAAAATTATACAAATTGTTAATTCCTAATCTCTTACAATAGTCTACAGATATAGTAAAATAAATAGAATAGTGGATTATGTTAATTCCAATTAATATTTTAATCAAAATATACTTCAACCAGCTTTCCATAATTAACAAGAACAGCTTTAATATCATCTATATACATGGTAGGACCACATAGCTTTAGTAATATAATCCACAGGTTATGTTATGAAAAGCTTGGTAGGAATTTTGAAAGTACTCACATCAATTTATATTTTTTTTAAAAGTAGTGTTTGCATTAGTCTTTTTTTAAAAAAACCCTCACAAAAACTGGAGTGGTTTCACAGTATACTTAAGTAATGGAAGAAGCCTTACTTGGTAGCAATATATTAATATTTTGAAAACTATAAAAAACCAAAATACATTCTCATAATCATAGCTGGCCTTTTTTATTTATGGGCCCTGTAGACTACATCATTAATGTGATTAGTGAGAAATATATCTATACGGACATCAGTATGGAAAGTGTAACTCTGAGTGAATTAACATCAGAACTTATCAATAAAGCAAAATTAAATAGGCTGAGGGACAAAAATATATATTAAGGCTGAGGGACAAATACATTTATATATTGTATTAATATATGCAACTTTATTCATAGCTTGAAATCTTTAATATTATTGTACATGAAATTGTTCATTAACTACCTTTTTTCAAATTTTCATTCTTGTTCAGTGTCTAATATTTCACATTAATTCTGATGCATATTTCCAGCTTAGTGTTCAAAGCAAATAAGTCCAGTTGTCTCTTGAAAAAGCACTTTGGATCTAGAACTTTAGTATTATATAATTTGAAATTATAAGTTCATATAGTGGCACACATCCAGTCAATAAGAATAAATTAAGGGACTAAATAAATGGCTTTGGACAGAGCACTTTGTTTATCTACAAAAAGTTGCTTACCTTTCACTTTTTGGATAGATAAATTAGGAGGTGATGTAATAAATTGTTTTTGAGAAATCTGTTTTAACTTTTTCTCTTCATCTATACAAAGAAAACACGGAAACTGAATGCTTGACAAAATGAGAGTTTAATTCAAATGTTTTAATTTATTTAATTGTAGTTTTCAAAGCTTAAAGTCTGTATTATAAGTCTGTTACTACAATATGCCAAGTTCTTTAAAACTTTAAAACCTATGTAAAGGAATAAATTGAAATTATAATGCTAAAAAAGGAAAGTGATTATATCATTTTATGAAGGTCATAAAAAACAACCAAGGTTTATTTCATCAACAGGGTCTCAACTCGTCTTTCAAAAGTGGTAGGAATAAAATACAACCCTGTCCTCTAAATCCATTATGCCCTCCTATCTTTAAATAAGTTTTATTTTAATAAATGCTTCAGTCAATAGGCAAACTTGAAATTGTGGTCATAATTCAAGCCAGTTCACACTTTTTACTATGATTGTATTGTTTCTGTTTCTGTTTTCTAGAACGATTCAATGTATATCTTATGCCTACACCAAATTTAGATATCTATGGTGAATGTACGATGCAGATCACACATGAAAACATTTATCTCTGGGATATCCATAATGCTAAGGTTAAACTGGTCATGTGGCCTCTCAGTTCTTTGAGAAGATATGGGCGTGATTCAACATGGTTCACTTTTGAATCTGGAAGGTAAGATTCAGTTCATACTTTCAAATAATTGTGTGTTATTGCTAAGATCGGCCTTGTCATGGTACAGTGTAAAAGAGGCACATTTAAGAGTAGTTGCTTTACTATTGTCAGCAAAGTTGTTTTTCTGTAGGTTTAGGTTTTTGTTGTTGTTGTTTTAATGAATTTGCATTTCCAATCCACAAAGTATAGTTAGGCAACATTATATTCTGGCTTTAAGCATTTGGGTTTGTCTGGTGATGTTGTATGATGACCCGGAGTGTAACACAAATGTAACAAAATCCAAAACATAAATAAATGTCCTTTAATGCCTCCAACTTAACTCCACTGTTCAATAATTCTCAGTTGGAGATAAACATACTCAAAAATAGTCTTCAAAAGAAAGCAATACAGTCCGAACTTAATGAGCAGATAGTGGTGAAATAAAAAAATCAAACAAACTACAATGACGAAATTTCCACAACGGACCAGGATAATTACCAAATTCAAGGCGATAACAAGGCACAGTCTGTTGGAAGGAGGCCAACCAAGATAACTTTGGCCCAAAATAACACACACTTTGCTTCTGGCAATGTTCTGTTGTAATCGTTTCTCTTATATACTAGTCTCCCCAGCTGCAACCAATGAGGAGGATCATGGCCGTTTCCTCTCTCGTAAGCCAAGCCTTCTCCATTTCTCCCTGCATGTCCTAGGATGCAGAGGGGATGGGCCTGGTTCTTCCTCTGACTGCCCAGCCAGCCTCTACCCTTCCCCAGCCTCCTCCACAACCTCCAGAGCCACATTTCCATTCCCTGTCGGCTGTTCCTCCTCTCCCTCCAACTCTACCAAGGGCATGACATGTATCTCTGACACATTAGCAGAATATCAGTTTTTAATAAAATGGTGAATCTATTTTTTTATATCCTAAACTCAGAAATGTGTTATTAGACACATTGTAATTCTTAAGAATATTGTTTTATTGATTTGTGATTGACAAACCTATCAAATAAATTAATTCATGATGGACAGAGGGAAAAAATAAGACAAGGAAAAAATAGACAAAGTGCATAATAGGTATAGCTTGGGGAGAGTGCTTGTGAATTATGGCAGTATACAAATTTGATAGATAAATAGTCTTCTAGGTTGAAATAATACAAAATGATGTTCCTGCAATAAATGATTTTGCAGGATAAAAGCAATAAAAAACTAGCAGATGCTTTATATTTTTATAGTCAACTGTATAATACAGATTCAAGCATCTTCATGGAATAAACTAAAGATTTTTTTATTAGATAAATCATCCAAAGATTACTCTGACTGAGATGTCTCTTTAACAGCATGGTATTCTCTTCAGTAATTAATTCTATTAAATCAATGAAAAGTGACAGAGTTCTTCTCCAGATCCTAAATTTAGCTTTAAATATTTGTGCAAAAATGTTGACAGCAGCCTTGGCATAAAATTTTCAAAATGCATTACCTCAATAATCTATCCTACACAATCTGGTTTCATGAAAGGATGTCAGGCATCTGATAATATCAGATGATTAATTGACATATTAGATATTCAATCAAGTCATCATACATTGTTTATATCAGCTGTGTCATTTAAGACAAATGACAATTATTCTGGCTGCTTTGGAAAGTGTGGACTTTTCTCCAATCCAATTAAATCTACCACATAAAGGTCTGGAGAATCAAGGTTTTACTGTACTTCTCATCAAAAATGGATCAGCTTAAATTGTCAACCATACTTCTGTTGATCACAGAAGCTGGTGTTTAAATTGCTGTGCCTTATTTCTTTTGGCTGTTCCTAATCTGGAACACTACTTGGGGTGTTATTCCTCCAATTATTCAGATGGGAACTGATAAATAAAAAAAGGAATGTTCCTGTTCAGTAGCCAAATATACAAAGCAGCTGATCAATCAGCAGCATTTTGTGCTTAATCCAAGCCAATTAAGTTGTGAGTTGCCTTAGTTTTCTGTCCATATTGAGTTTCAGTCTCCTAGGAATGTAACAGATGTGCAGACAGAATTACTCCAAAGGAAAGTAGTGCACTGAACCATTTATATGTGGCAAACAAAGTCTCAAAGTAATCAATTAAAGCAGGAAGGAATAACAAAAATGAACAATTCATAGAGAACTGGTCCATATCCAAGATTATCATTTTTTTCCAACTTTCAAATATGAATCATGTTCACAGAGCATAGTCATAAGGTGATAATACTTTTATTTTTGTAGACAATTTACCTTGATTTGAATAAAAGAAACAGGCAACTGATAAAGAGTTGAATAAAATCTTCACAAGTTGAGCTGCAGTTTATCTGCTTTCTTGGGAGTTTTTTGTTCACTGTTAAATAGATTAATCTTCATTTTGATCTGCAGGCTTCTTTACTTCTGTGTCCTTTTTTTACCCCTTAGGGCTCGTTAGCTGTCAATATACACTGATTAATAGCTCAGTCTTTCTGGGCTTCAGTTTCATTTTTATTTATTAACCTTTGCTAACTTTAACTATGATCTTTCATGGCTTTAACCTTTAGTTTATTGAGTGTTCCATGCTAAGAGTAGAACCATAGGATTATGTACTGCATCTTTATTTTTCTCAAAGATTTCTGGTGACCCACTTAATCACAATGACTTACGTCTTATGACCATAATTTTGGGCTCACGAACATGTCATTCAGTAGGGTCTCTGAGATTCACAAATTAAATATAGATGTGACTCAGAGGAGGTATTCAGCAGGTTCTGACCAGTTCTGGAGAACCACTAGTGGAAATTTTGAGTAGTTCAGAGAACTGGTAGCAGAAATTTTGAGTAGTTCAGAATACCACCTCTGACTGGCCACACCCCCACCTATTCTGTACTTCCTGAGTCCCAGCTGATTGGCTGGGTCTTCTTTTGTTGCCCTGCACAGGAGAACAGAGCTGGAAATCAGGTTAGTGGGGTGAGGAAGGAATGGGGATTTTACAGTATATGTATATCCTTCCCCCCTAGAATGGGGTAGAAATGGGGATTTTACAGTATTCTTCCCCTGACACACCCACTAAGCCACGCCCACAGAACCTGTAGTAAAAAAATTTGAATCCCACCACTGATGTGACTATTAGGAACTAAAGGGATGTGATGGGTTCCACAGGGATGGGTACCTGTTATATATTAGAAACAGAACCGCTGCTTTCCAATTGAAAGAAAAGCTGTTGTTGAGAATACAGTGTGTGTTTGCAACCCTATATCTCTATATTGTATTATAAATTATACAGGCTTAAATTTGTTACCTGAATCTTCTATCATAATTTCATGCAGTGTCAGGTGTGGAGAATCAGGATCAGTGTTAAGTTCCAATTAAGCTGATTTATTGTTCATGACTATATGCAAGAATCTAATCAACTAATGATCAGCACTAAATTTGTGCTAGATAAGAGTTAATAGAATTCAAAAGGAGCAGGACCTGCACCACTTGTGGGAATGTAACAATTCCAGGCTGATTCCTCTCTTGACTCCACCTCCATGTTCTGCATTTCCACCTACAGGCGGTGAATCTAAATCTCATTGACATGGTAATCCATGATTTTCCTAATCATGGATTGGTCAGTATGTCCCAGTTAGCACTAAATCAGGGTTTAATGGCATGTCTGCAAAATATGCTGATGCAAAACTCTTTACAGGATGTTGTCATATTGGATGTTATAGCTCAGTAATGGTGAACCTTTTTGCTGTGGTGTGCTGAAAGTGCGATAGCGTGTGCACCTGTGTGCCAGCACCCACAATGCAATGCTCCCCTGCGCATGTGTACACAACACTCCCCACACCCCCTTACATGCACGTGCCTCCCAGCTGATTTTTGGCCCGTTTGAAGCCTTTTTCTGCCTCCCAGAAGTCTCTGCAGCTTCGGGAGGCTGAAAAATGAGCCTTCCCAAAATACCAGAAGTGCCTATTTTCAGCCTTTGGAGGGCCTCTGTAGCCCGGGGGAGGTCATTTTGGCCCTCCCAGGGGCTCGAGGGAAGCCTCTGCAGCCTTTGGGGGCTGAGAAATGGGCCCATTTTGTCACTTCCTGAAGTGATGAAACAGGCCTGGTTTTCGGCCTCCAAAGGCAGCAGAGGCTTCCCTTGAGCCCCTAGGAGGATGAGAATGGCCTCTCCCAGGTTCCAGAATCCCTCTGGAGGCTGAAAATGCGCACTTCTGGCATTTCCGGAAGGCCCATTTTTCAGCCTCCTGAGGCTGCAGAGGTTTCCCTCAAGACTCTGGGAGGCCTCAAATGGACCAAAAATCAACTGGGAGGTGAGCGCATGTGCAGTGCAGGTAAGTTTGGCTGGTGCTCACATGCCCACACAAATGGCTGTAGGTTCGCCGTCACGGACATAGCTAATGTCCTCAACTCATTCTGTGAGGTTGCCAAGCTGCAAAACTAATGTTTCCAAATTCAGGATCTAACATTGAAACATGAGGCATGGTTATTGAGGTATTAGAAAAAAATCACAAATAAGGTGATGGCTTGGACATTTCTTTCAATATTTTAATATGTGCATCCCTAAGGAAGATTCTTGATTATTCACATAATCATGTTTATATATGTAAATAAACCCCTACAAAATTAAACATACAATTTTTTTGAGATATTACTTGAAAGTATTTCAATTATTTCTTTCTAAAACAGAAATTCATTCTTAATATAAAAATTTATGTATATACATTTTTCAGGATGTGTGACACAGGAGAAGGGCTATTTACCTTTCAGACAAGAGAAGGTGAGATGATCTATCAGAAAGTCCACTCTGCAACACTTGCAATAGCTGAGCAACATGAAAGATTGATGATGGAGATGGAACAGAAAGCACGGGTAAGACCCTTGCTATTATTAAATGGTCATTTCTTGGAAGGAAATTGTTTTTGAAATAAAATCAGATTTATATAAGAAACCTTATATTTATCTTGACAATTATTAAACAAATGATATTACTCATATCAGATTACTCTTTGTTAAAATTATGGTTTTATTTATTAATCACATAATCATGTAACAATTATGGAAGTGAGAAATTGCCATTAATAAGATTTTTTTTCTTCCTAATGAGATGCAGGGTCAAAATACATGTAATTGAATGTAAATTTTGCCTAAATTTATCAGAACAAAATAGAGCATTTAAAGTTTTAGACATGTGTTTTCTTTCTACAATAGGTAGTCTTTGAGTTATGAATGGTTCTTTAGCAACCATTTGAAGTTATGATGGACTTCTCTGGGGATATTTGCAACCTAGTTCTAATGGCCATGCACACATGACACCCGTAATCATGTGATCTCATATCAAATGCTTGGCAACTGGTTCACCTTTATGGAAGCGTGCAGCATCCCATGGTCAATGGCCATATTTTACTATGGTTTTGCTGATAAATGGCACGTACTTTTGGTTTTCAGCATAATTGTGCCCATAACAAACAATGGATTTGCTTTAAGACTGTGGCATTTGCTTTAGACCTGCTGCGAAAAATATCATAAAATCAGGGCAGTCACACAGATGACCTTCTTTATGAAGATCATAGTAAAGATGTTGGAAAATGAAGAGTATTTTTAAAAATTCTATTCATATTCCTTGTTCAGCAAATCACTGGTACCCAGATCTTCCTCGCAGTAATTTCCCAGTTATTTCAGCTTAATAGTTTAAATATGAAGGGCTTCCACAGGTCTTTCCTTACCAATTTGCTACTGTGTGTATTAACTATCAATGTTCTTTATTTTTATTCAGTTTTTAAGAAATGGTATCAAGAAGTAGAAAGGTAATGAAAATGTTTAAATCGTGGAGGCTTTATATTATATAGTTCTGAACCGCTAGGTAAATATAGGCTATTACATCGTGTTTCACCAAGCAGTCTCGCAGCAAATTGAGAAGATAATTTGTCTTTCTGATTAACTCACAGGGACATTTTCTCTTCAACTCAGTTTGCCTTAAGTGTTTAATTCTAGGATTCTAAGATATTTTCAATAGAAAAGCCCATTTAGGGGAAAGTCAATACTCTCAGAACTGCTATATATTATCGCACATTAAATTACTGTGTATTTCCTTTTAGTTTTTCTCTGGTCAGTTGTGAGAGTTGATCTAAAAAGCTCTAAAAGAAAGGAGAAAAAAGTATGGCCAAGTACCATTTTCAAATCTGTTGATCAGAAGAATAGTTCTGATATGAAATTTATCTTACTAATTGAACTTTACATTCTATGACATTTCTGATATATTAAATATGGTTTGAAAGTAACTAACAGGATCTCGCTAAAAACCTATTATAAAGCATACTGCTCCAGTTACTTTCCATATTACTTACATCACAATTCACATAAATTACCCAAGCTAATAGTTGAAACCAAGTCACCCTTGGAGGAGATTTGTAGTGAAGTATGATTTAGTCCATAGAACTCAAATATTGCTTGAAATTAAATATGTTGTGGTTTTTTAAGTCTCATTCACCACTAGTCAGCTATTAAGGCAACTCAGCCAGCTATGAGGCTTTCTACTGGCCTAATTTCTTCCTTTCTTTGTCCAATTTTTATTTTAGAGTAAGCCACAATAACTATTCATGTGAAATATTGGAAGATTTGGATGCAACAAAGGTGAAATATGAGTGCAGTGTCATTATTATAAATCTTTATTAGTGGAGGGACAGCAAAAATGTAATGAATTTGAGAAAACATGGAAATTATATACAAATTAAAGATGTTCTATATTAGTTGATATATATAACTAATGTGACATAAAACTTGAAATTTCTGTGTATATAATATGCTCATTTCCCCATATTTATTTATCAATATTTGCATTAGTATATACAGTCCAGGTATTTTAGCCTTTCAGGAATTGTGTTCTGTGCAGACATATTTTAAAACAAAGTCAGAAGTGGTTTTATCATAATTTTTGATTGCTTATCAAAGAAAATTTATAACTAGTGGTTAAAAATAAGTGAATAAAAATGCAATAAAAATTACACACACACACACACACCCCAAGTAGCAAACATCACCTTCCTTAATGTCATCCTCTCTTCATGGAAGATTAATCTTGCCCGTTCTTTCTTATCTAATCATCTTCTTGTCTTTATCCTACTTCCTTTGCATTTTTTAAATAACGGAATTCATCTTCTCTCAACCATATCTGCTATGGTTATATAGTTGAGTACAAGGAGCACACAGGTTAATGTAGATTTCCTATAGATGTATAAGTAGTTGAAAACAACTGTTTTCAGCATGCTTTATGTTAACAATCATATTGTATCTTATAAAAGGGGAGAAGTCACACATCATCAGAGGTGCTATTCAGCAGGTTCTGACCAGTTCTGGAGAACCGGTAGCGGAAATTTTGAGTAGTTCGGAGAACCAGCAAATACTATCTCTGACTGGCCCCGCCCCCATCTATTCTCTGCCTCCCTGATCGACTGGGTCTTTTTTTGTTGCCCTGTACAGGTGAATGGAGCTGGAAAGCAGGTTAGTGGGGTGGGGAGGGAATGGGATTTTGTAGTATCCTTCCCCTGGAGTGTGGTGGGTATGGAAATTTTACAGTATCCTTCCACTGCCATGCTCACCAAGCCATGCCCACAGAACTGTTAGTACATTTTTTTGAATCCCACCACTGCCCATCATCCACAACTTAAACAACAAGGCTCGGTCTTGTAGAGTATTATAAGTGTAAGGAGAAGAAACGAAGGAAGAGGGAACAGAGAAAAAGTTCTTCTATTTCTAATGCTTGCATCTTACTCAAGTGTTAAAAATCTGGTTTTGTTATCTGAGTTGTGCTTGGACAATATTTGGAATCATTACAGTAGACAAACTGAATTGTGCCAAATGCCTAAAGTTTGCAAGGCATAAGATTTGGCCATAACTTGATTTATTTATTTAATACAATCTTACTAGTTTATATATTCACACAAGGAAAATCTGTTATGTCACTTCGTATAAATAATGCAAACAGCAGAAGTGGGCAGACTTATTTATAAAATACCAGCTACCAAGGCAGCAATAAATCTTGTTTGTTTTGTACTGTATTATTGTTTTTCTTTCTTAGATTTAAAAACCTTGAAGGTCAATCAAGAGAGGATAGTTTGGGTTTTCCTAAAACACAAGTAACACTTTAGATTTTATTTATTTTTTTAAAATTATGTATTTGTTTTAATATTTAAATCATGCAAGAAGTAGAAATTTTACCTGGTAAGAATAGGGCAAGAGAACATTACTATTCCAGTATGTTCTTCATTTTTAATCCACAGCTTGATCTATAAGCAGTTACATTCCAAATCATATGCAAGTACATATTGGAGTTTATTTGCTATTGAACATTTCTGCATAGCTGACATAGGAAGTCCATCTTTGCATATTATGGATATCTGACACTTTTGCTAACTATGAATTTATCTGCAAATAAAGATACACAGCTAGTCCTTGAATTATGACTGGTCACATGATTCGTCAAGTGATAGATTTTGATAATAGCAAATACATTTGGGGACACAAGAATAAAGTGCAGAACTGGTAAAAGTAGCATCTTATGTGTTCCATAATCAATTTCATTTGGATTATTTATGTACACAACCTTGATTAGCAGAGTCATTCTTTGCATTCCACCCTGCCTTTGAATTGGTATCAATTAGCAACTATTTTATTAGAGGTAAATTCTCGGAAGTCAAGATTTTTTTAAAAAAAGTGTTCCATAAATATTAGTATAGTTGACAAAAGATGAATACAATGCATTCAAATTTCATTGGGCAGCTCAATGTTGGGTCTAAACCTATTGACAAGGTCCAGATGATGAACCCAACTGAGTCAGCACTCCAGGACAATCAGATTTCTTAAAGATCTATTGTATTGAGTACATCATTTTGGAACAGCATGAAGGCAAAACCAACTCAAACTATTTCCCGCAGTTTTAGTATAATTAAATGATAGATATTCTCCTTCCTCCTTGTCACAGGACGCATTGTCCAATTAGGTGTTTTGGCATCTCCTTGGTAACTCTTCCAGTCTCTGGCCAGCACCTCTTGAGATGACTACAGGATGATCTGTTGCTTTAGTCTGACATTCGAAGCTTTTTCCCTTCCCCCCATACTGTTTGGCAAACAGAAATGAAAAGATGGCTGCAGAAGCTTAGAGTTGACACCTATTCTTTTTTAAAGCAGACTGAACAATTCTGGTCTCTGATTTTAAAATCCTCTGGAAACAGTCTGTTCAAATCTCTGGATAAGAATGATCCAGAAAGAAGAGAGAAAAGGAGAGAAAAAGATTTGTCAACAAGAGAGAATTGTCTTGGCCCCTATTTTCTTTTGATTCAGTTCAATGGTGCTTTTTTCCGCTAATCACAGCCTCCAGCAGCTTAGCTCTGAGGGAATGCAGCCTTCAGGTGTTGCCCAGCTTGAAAAGATATGTCCATGATGTCATAAAGAGATTGTATTATATAATACAGCGATGAAGGATATGTTATGTCAAACATGTCATCAGTAGTATCTTTCCTAATAAATCAGTAATATTTTAGAATTTTGAAATGTGCTCAATGATGCAAATATTAATATTATATTACTCAAGATGGCACAAATTACTTGCCAGGGAGGAGGATGCACTGCAATTTTCTATCATCTGATACAGAATATTTATAGTACTGAGACAAAACAGAGCAGGGTGCACTCTGTTGCTAAGGTGATAAATAGCCAGCCATCAGTATGCTCTTCGTAGGGCAATATAAACAAAAGACAGGTCTCTGCCCTTAAGACCTTACAGCTTTAAAGGAACATTTAAATAAGTACTTTGAGAAGCAAAAAGAAGAGAACAAAGAAAAAGACAGAATAAATTAAGTAAAAAGAGGCAACTGT